TTTGATAAGGAACAGGTCATCCACTAAAATGACATAATATTGTTAGGTTGTCAAGGTGTTTGCTTTGTGTTTTGTGCACTTGTTCTCTTCTGGAGAACACTTGGGTGCTGTAGTTTGATTCAGATCAACAGCTGTGGGTTTCCCCTTTAATTTCATGGAACCATCTGTATAAAAAGGGCAATTTCGCAACAAGGGAGCTAGGAAGGTTTGAACTCTGCTTGTGTTTATTAAGGAAAATTCTCATTCTTGCTTCTGTGATGGAAAGATTGTGTTGGTCACTTCAAGAGAGCTCCACAAGTCCACAAATTATTGCAGACTGTGTTATGTGGCAGGGACCATTTTTCCTGGGTTTTTGAGGGCAAATCACAGATAGAATACCTGTGTGTCTGATTGGTGATGATTTGTTTGGGCAAGCATTGTATATCAGTGCAGATGAGTTCTGGATCAATTGTAGCACCTGGCAAACTCTAAATGAGGTCAAACAAGACCAAACTGTAATTATAATAAATCTTGCCCTTATAAGACAGGTAAGTTGTTCACTGACTGTGGTCTGGAGTCACTAGGTTTTCTCAGTACGTTAATTTGCCAGACATGAGGCTTTGGCATACTGAGTTGATTGCAAAGAATGCAAGATTGTGCAATTCAAATCACCTTTTCCTAGAACAGAACAGGTTGATGTGGATGGAAGTTAAGTTAGCCTCTGTTTTTAACAGCAAAAAACAACAAGCAAACAACTTTGGAACGTAATAGATTGATAGTGGCTTTATTTCTTCCTTGGGCATGGAGTGGATATACTTCCCTCCATTCTTACACTGTTAATATACTTCCCTTCATCTTTCAGTGGTTTTGGTTCTGCTATACTTTAATTTAACATTTCTCTTCTTGCTTTCAGTGGTTTACAATGCAAGTACTGCAAGTGGGTCTGGAATGGCACATTGTATTCCAGCCTTGCCAGAATGTATCTGAGACCCAGAGGCGGCAGAGTCCCTGAGGGAGCTCTACCACCTCCCCACTGAGATCAATAATCATTGCTCATGTCAGTTGAGTTTTAAGGCTCATGCCAGTTGACATTTATGATTTTCTCTTACGTGGCAAAGAGGGGGCAGTTTCCACATAGTTCTTTGAACACATTGAGGTAAACTATTCTGCTGCCAAGGTTTAGGAAATATCCTCTTCAAAAGAAATAAGACAAGTTTTCCCTAAGGTATGTTTCAGTATCAGTCAGAGCTTACCTCAGTCTTCTAAGATACTGAAATGGTATTTCCTACTACTTCTGGTATCATCATAAAATCCTGAGTAAAAAATTATTCTCTGTATTGCCAACTTCACTGTAAATCCAATGAGGAGCTTGAAACAGTGGGAGAAAGGAGATCTTGGGAATGACTGGTATAGGAAACCAGGAGAGCACTTCCATTGACAGACATGAACTAAAACACAACAGTTACTTGGATTCTAGACATTGCTGTGAAAAGTTAGAGCCAAATTCTCACTGTAAATCAGGGTGGCTCCATGAACTTCCATGGAACTGTGCCAGAACATCCCAGACAAGGACTTGGCTCCATCTGTTTACAGCACCATCAGCAAGAGCTGCTTGGAGAGGTTCCACTGGGAGAAAAATTTAATTAAAAAAGGGAGATAAGAATGACAGAGCAATCTGTCTTCTGGATCTCTTGTGGAATGTGGCTCCCATGGGGTTTGATCCTGTGCACCCACAGCACCTCCAGGTCCTGCTGAGCTCTCCCAGGGGCCACTGCCCTGGGCCAGACTCCAGGGCACCCCTAGGAAATGGAACTGCAGTGGGGTACACCCTGGTACCCTCCCAGTCTGCAATGATTGTCATTGCAATAATTCAATGATTTTTTTCGTCAGTGGTTTCAGAAAATCCAAGGTTTTCCTTTCACCAAGTACTTAAGGTTTTTATTTCTTTAAATTCCTCAATATGCCATGGTGGAAAGGATGGGGAATGGCATCACCAACCACTGAAGTTTCCTATTTCCTTTGTGACCTTGTTATTCACAGACAGACAATTAAATTTCACAACTGTGTTTTAAATCATCTGTAAAGAGGGAGAGAACTCCAAACATCCTTGAGTTGGTTTCCTACTAAAATGTTAAAAAACAAGACAAACACCCAGAGCAAAAAAAAAAAAAAAAAAAGCCAGCAGGCAAATTACCACTTTGTGATGTTAGGCTGTTTTCATTTCCCAGAAACTAGTTAATTTATTTAGTGTGCCCCACCAGTCCAAGTTTCATTTATAGATTAACTTGTGTATTTTGGCTCCTATCCATCCCTTCCTTTGGCTCAAAATGAATGATACCAGGACTGTCTTTGAAACAAGGCAGGAATGTGATTTTTTTTTTTTTTTTATTAAAGAGAAACGTCACCCTGAAACCTCTCTTTCTGCCAGCTTTTTGAGGTCCCACCACAAAAATATGATATTAGGAATGGCAGATTAGTGTCTGGTGTGTTCCATCTTTATGAATAAATCAGACATGTAATATTCTGGAGGGATCTGGACACAGTTCGTGTCTCCTCAGAAGGCCTTTTACTGGAGCAGCTTGTTGATGAAGCTTTTCAAGATGGTTTGTTTGCTTTCTTTCAATAACTAATCTGTTTCTAGAGGTGGTTTAAACAAGGTTGCTGGTTAGCACCACTCTGGTGCCAGGTTCAGTCTTTTATTTGGGGCTCCTGCTGCCTGGGAGCAGCTCAGGGGGTTTGGAGCTGGCAGAGAGGGTTGGGCTGCTGGTGTGAGAATCTCCTGCTTGTCTTCTCTTGGTCCATTGGGTTGCTCCTTGTGGAGATCCATTTGTTAAACTAAACCTATGGGCATCATGCACAGCAATCAGGGAGCAGCTGTCAAGTGCTGCTGATAAACACAGGCTGTTTTCCAGACTCTGCAAAAACTCTGTATTTGTCATATGTGAACTCTATGCTGATGCTTTTTTCTGGTCCATTTGGGGGTTTGCAGGGGAGTTCTCAGCTGCAGCATAAATATCTGGCCATCTTTTAAAATCTGTGACTTGGGACTGACAGCAGAATGTCTCATCAAGATGCTCTGTCAGTCTCAAGCACCTGTCATGGATTGACTTCTGGGTCAAACCATGACAATACCTTTTTCTAGGACTCTGGGAAAGGTTTTCCAAGATGTGCCAGGAGAATCCTCCCACTGTGTCTTTTTCACACATTTCTCTTTCTTTTTAGGATCCTCTAGATATTATTGGAATGTAACTGTAGAGAAAAATGTTCTTTCTAACAACTCGGTTATGGACTTCTAATCAGACTTGGATTTCTGGAAATACTACAACATGACTTCAGCTGAGAATGAGATGGAAAGATGGACTCACAGGCAGGGTGGCAGGACTGGGAAGCTGATAGAGCCTGTGGCCTCTCCTGAAAATGCTCATCTTTTGTCAGTGAAGTCAGTCAGCAGCATGGACCATCTCTTGCACCTGCCTGGAAGGGCAGACTCTGCTTACAGCTCTTTCTCAGGAGGATCAAACATCCCAGAGAACCCCACACCACCGTGCCATGGTGAATACATCTGTGTTCCTCCAGAGCAGGCCCCGTACATGGACTCAGAATATGTGACAGGAATTTATAATCTCAGTGCTGCCCGCTCTGCCCTCAGATCCCCCCAGCCGTACACAGCACCAGAGCTGAGCACCCACAGCAGCTCCCATGGCTGTGGGATTACTCCTGCCCAGAGGAGTTCAAATCAGGGCCCTCTGGCCCTGGCAGCACCTCTGCTGTGCCCTCCCTCGCGCCTCGAGAGCTGTAACGCCACTCACAGGCACTGGGACAAGGCAGGAGACAGACAGGGCTCTGCAGGGCAGCCTGCTCCTGCTGTGCAGCACAGCCAGCCAGCAGACAGGGATGGACCCTGGAGTCAGCACTGCGATGCAGTTACAGAGCAAGATGTAGGGCCTCCTCGGGAAAGGCCTCTGGAAAACAAGGGCCTTTCTTCTGATTTTACAAAGGTATCAAAAGTTCAGCCATTAAAGGCAGAGGAAAACGGAGAGTGGAGCCTGTCACAACAACCCACAAAGAGAAGTAATCCGCACGTTTCCAGGAGACCTTCTTCTTTCATTTTCCAAGAATATTTAAAGACAGACTCTGTGGCAAATGTCCCCAAAATACTTTCTGCATATAATTCAGGTCATGGTAACAAAATTCCCAAAGAGGTGAACTTCAAATCCTATCACCAAGCACATTCCAACCCCAGTGCTGTTAATGATACACAGGAAGTCAAACAGTGTCCCAGGGGTGTGTGTAAGGCAGGTGCCAGAGAAGCAGCTCTGCCAAGCACTGTGCCAGGGCCCAGCCAGAGGAAAGAGTCCTTGCCCTGTGCTCAGGTCCCACTCCATGCTGAGTGGCATTCAGACATGGATCAGGATGTGTTTGAGGACAGCTCGGAATTAAAATACATGGAGAATGCTCTTTTGAATAAAAATGCTCCCAGGAGGCTGAGCAGTTATGCAGACAAAAATCAGTGCTATGATTCTAAAGGAAAAATTATGAGCAATATTAAGGAATCAGTCCCAAACCAGCAAAACAAAGTGCAGAGATCACCACTGCCCTGCAGCTGCAAGGCTGTGGAAGTGGAGCACCCTCAGTGTGAGGAGCTGGATCAGGGAAGGAAGCAGGGCTGCAATGGCACAAGCCAAATGACATTTTTCAGACCAAAGGAAGAGTCCACATTTCAATCATTATGTGAGGTCCAGAAAGAAAACCAGGGCAACAACAGCAGTCCCGACCTCCGCAGGTGTCTGGAACAAGAGGAAGCTCCTGTTCAGAAACAGCAGCCTGTGTTTCAAACACAGCTCTCAAGACAGCTTCGGGAGGACCATGCTGGTGAACAAATAACCAGGCAGGCAACTCCGATGCTTTACTATCTGTCTGCAGGGAAAACCACCAATGTCCTGCACCCCAACAAGGACTCGAGGAGCTCACCAAAGGAAATTCCATCAAGCAGCTGTGCTGCCTCAGCACAGTGTCTAGAGATGCAAAGAGAAGGCCATCAGCTTCAGAGGGGCAGCCACCACCATCAGCGCAGTGCTGATGATCTCCAGCTTCAGAACAAAGATCTCATTTTCAGGAGTCCTCCCTCATTCACAGAAGAGAGTTTCCAGAATGACTACATAGAGAAACTTAAAGTGGCTCAGAAAAAGGTTCTCAAAGAAACCTCCTTTAAAAGAAAAGACTTACAGATGAGTTTGCCTGTCAGACTGAGGCAGAAATCCTCTAAAAGGCCATCAGTTGAGCACGTTCGGTCTTTCTCCTTATCTAGTGCAAGTGAGGATGCCAAACCTGTTCCTTGCTCCCCTTCTCATCTAGAATCCTTGGAAAGCTTCAATAGAAGTGAAGAAATAAGGAGGCCACAAAAAGGTGATGCAGGGAGAAGGAAAAGGGTAACCCATGAGCAAAAGAAACTGTGCTACTCTGAGCCTGAGAAGCTCAATCACCTAATGGATAAGGAAGTACCATGGGGTCAAGTTAGGGATGAAACCACTGAGCATGGTACAGTGGCATCCAGGAGAAGGGATCTGGAGAACAGAGGAAAGACATTTTCCAGTTCAACTGTCTCCAGGACAGAGCTGAAACAAATCCAGCACAGTGCACTGATCAAATACATGGAACGAAAGATCAGTCAAAGGCCAGGGGGGTCACAACCCCTCCCACTGCATAAGCCACCCCTGCAGGAGAGGCTGTCGAATCCCAAAGGTCCTCCTGGCCAGATTTCCAACCCAAATGGAAGCAGGAAGATGCAAAATGATGAGGTTTTTTGCCAACTGCTCTCTGAACAAAAATCACCAGATGTTTTTCCTCCTTTGCCTTTTGCTCCCCCACTGAAGGTGAGCAGCAGGTGTGATCCCAACCAAGGGGACGGGAGCTGTACCAGCAAGTGTCCATCAGCTGAAAGTCTCCCACAGGCAGGGGCTTCTGCAACTGGGAGAGCTCCTGAGAGATCGAAATCCACTCCTTCTTCCACACAGGTAAGACACCAGTACCTGAAGGGGGCATAAAGAAAGTCAAGAGGCACGCTGGCACTTGAAGATGCATTTGCAGAGAACACGTGCTGTGTGCAGGATGAGGCTGTTTGTGCTCTAGCAGTCTTTATTGTTAATGACAGCAGCTTCATTAGAGCCCTATCCCAAAAAAAGGTCATTCTAGGGAGAATTTTATAAATCACCAACATTTCCTGGCTCATGAATTTGAAAGAGAGTAGCTGTCAGTATTGTTAAGGAGAATAAAGAAGATAAAGGACCAAAAAATAATTAAACATACCACTAAAATTACCCTATTGAAGAGACTGACAAATTTCCACCAATGCTGAATTTCTGAATTGTTGTGAGAGTAGAGGTATCTTTTGTTGACAGCTGTTTTTTGGGTTTCTAGGGGGAAAAGAAATTAATGCTACCTAGGAAAAGTGTAATAGCAATTTAATTAATAAAAAATAGGTAGACAAAAACACCTCCAAAGATTAAAAAAAAAACAACTAACAAAACCCAAACCTTTCCCCCTAGAAAAAAACAACTACAACAACCAAACAAAAAATCACCCAAAAAAAAAAAAAAACCCAAAAAAAAAAAACCCACAAATATTGTATTTGCAAGGTCCCTCATGGCAGGAAAGAATGATGAATCTGACTCCATGTTCTCAGAAGGCTAATTTATTATTTTATGATACTATATTATATTAAAGAATACTACACTAAACTATACTAAAGAATACAGAAAGGATACTTACAGAAGGCTAAAAAGATAATAATGAAAACTCGTGACTCTGGAAAGAGTCCCAGCACAGATTGGCCCTGATTGGCCGTTGAGTCAAATCAACTCCCAGCAGAATCCAATGAAACAATCACCTGTGGGTAAACAATGTCCAAACGCATCCCAAAACAGAGGAGAAGCAAATGAGATCATTATTACTGTCCTTTTTCTCTGTGGCTTCTCAGCTTCCCAGGAGAAAAATCCTGGGCGAAGGGATTTTTCAGAAAATATGAAAGTGACACACAAACAAACAGAAAAGCTCAAACCTCAGTGAACCTACTTAGAGCTCTACCATCAGCTTTCCTTTCTGGGGATAGCAAACAGGGCAGTAACATGAAGCAGCTGCCTCGCCTGCAGTGCCCCAGTGTGCTGTTTTCCCTTGCAGGAGGCGTGCAGATGTGCCAGAGGTGCAGCAGCACCGTGCCAGCGCTGCGGGAGCCGCCCCAGGTAAGGCTGGGGGGCTGTGCTGGCCGCAGCCCGCGTCCCGAGGGTGGGACCCCAGCGCTGCTCCCGCCTTCTCCCTCGGCACCCTTCGTTGTCCATACGGGAATATTCCCCGCTGCTGTCTGGGTCAGCCTTTAAAATCGTTTCCACCGCGGGAAGTGCCTCTGAGCAGCTGTCCCTGCTCCATCAGATCTCTGGGATCACAGCTCCCTCATCCGAGCCTGGAGAAAACAGCATTTCCAGCAGCTCGGAGATGCCCACTCCTGGAGAATGTGTGCGATCAGGATTGTCGCAATAGGGGATTTTGGTGTGTTTCTTCAAAGGAGAAAAAAGCTGTGCCATTTGCACATCACTAACTAGGAAGTTTGTGTTTTAACTCTCCATATTTGCTTTGCTAGTTTGAGGAGCGTCAAGGAAGATAAACATCTGAAATCTGTCTCAGCAAGGCAGTGATGTTGACTCTTTTGTAGTAAAAGAATTCCCACTCTTTCAAAAATATTCCAGTGGTTTCTGGAGAATTTAATGGCTTATGGAAAAAAATAAATTAAATTTTTTCTTACATTTCCTAGTTTAGCAGGTTAGCATAAAAGTAACTGAAAGTTCCAGACAGAACCATAACATCAGAAACATTTGATCATAGCTCTTAAACAGTCTGAAAAAAAATCTGTTATAAGAGGGAATGTCTCAAATAAAAGGAATTGTCTTCTTCCTTTCAGTTTCCGTGATCCTGAGAAAGATCGACCCAAGAATTGTGAACATAATGACACAACTGGACATGTGTGTGGCCAGGATAAACAGGAGCAGACTCCTGAAACCCCCATTCCTGTCCCAAGAGGTGGAAGCAAGGAGAGTGCTCGAATGGAGGAGGAATGCAGAACTCAGTCTCTGGGTGGGAATGCTGCACTCCAGCATCCAGAGCAGCAGCAGCCTGTAGCTTCTCCAGAGCAGGGAATGCATCTCCATACAGCACCAGCTGAGCCTCACCAAGGACACAGACATGCAGCCAAAGGTCTCCTTGCCCAGGAAATATCCATGCACAGCAGCCACGGTGATGTTCCCCTGGAGAGGGACACACACCTGCCCCAAAGGAGGCTGCAGACTTCTCAGGAGCAGAGATACCAAGAGCTTGCTATGGAGATCATTGCCAAAGACAGTTCCCTGGTGGACATTCTCATGCCTCATCCTCTTAGAAAAACTGCTTTGGACCTGATGGAGGGTTTGTTTCCTGTTAACATTTCCATGCTGGATAAATCACGCAGGAAAAGGGGAAAGGCACAGCATGTGCAGGAGAATGAGTAAGTAGGCAAAACCAATTATCTAGCACTTTGGTCTGTTTTAATGTAGAGATACTATACATACTACTATGATAGTAGTAAGATGAATTTGAGCACATTGTTTCACTTTTGTTTCATTAGAAAACACATAGCTTTCTGATGTACATACCAAGAAATGTCTGAGGCTGAGGGTATATCATGGAAGAAAAGTGGTTCAGTGGTTCCTTATTAAAGGGACTGTGACAGACCTAGGCTGAAAATCTTTAGCTCTATATCTTCTAGACAATTAGAAGATCTCCTGTGGTGAGAAGAGAGGAGAGTGATCCTGAAGTCAAGATGGATAAAACCATTAATTCAGTATTTGTGAAGAAAACTGTGTTTGCTTTGGGTATTTATTTTCTGTTCCAATAGCAGGAAAAGTCATGGAGATGGACCAGAAGAATGTCCAAAATCTGAGCATGAAACCAAGCAAAGGAGCAAAGATCCTACTTCCATGAGAAACCAAGTCCTGAAGAGGAACAGAGACAGCACAAATGAGCTAGATGACATCACATCTAAGAAAGTATGTAAATGACCTTCGCAAGAGCCACTGTTTTTCCATCATGGCAAAGAAATTCTTATTAATGTCATTATTACTATGGATATTTCACAGGTAACTTTGAATCCATTTTTGCCAGTAGGTGAAGTCCTGGCAAACTGGCATATTGATCATAAGTGGTGGTATTTAAATCCTGCCTGATTTGACTCAGATCTCTCATCTATCATCACTAAAGGTTTCCTTGCCCAGCTAGCTCCTGTGCAGCAGCAGCAAACTCCTAATTTAACAGTCAAATCTAATCTCAAAATCTGTAAAATAAATTAGAACTGGCAGCCTAAATAAGAAATATTCTTTACTCTGAGAGCTGGCAGCAGCTTCTGCACGTTCCAGTGTCCAATTAATTCCATACATGCAGAGAATGGGGGGCACAGCTGGACAGTGACAGAAGTATGGAGCTTGGAAGGGTGATTGTGTACCTTTGCATAGTTAGGTGGGCTTTTCCCAACCATGCTCCATCTCAGGTAATGACAATCTGCCTTCCTGAGGCTCCTCCTGCTGTGCACATTACCTGCTGTCTAACTGCTGCTCCCATTCATGGTGGCACTGTCCAGCTTCCAAACAGCTGATGGTGTGCTCCCACTCAAGTCTTGAGGCCTTTTTCCATATAATTTCCCTGTGAAACAGCTTCCTCTGATTATTTTTCTACCCAGGCACCGTGGCCTGCTTGAATTGCCCATGAAGCTGACTTTTTCTGTGCATATGATAAGTGAAATTCCAGTCAGTTCTTCCAAAGCTTGGTACAGAGCTGGGACTTCATGCTCGTGTCTTAGAACAACAACTATGTGTAATCATGTTGTAATCTTTATTGCAGTTCCCTTCTGACTGATTGGAAGCTCTCTGAGCCAGAGAATATATCACCAGCTAAGGTGATTACCAGTAATTTGCTTTTCAGAGTTTGAGAATTAAGTACAGCTTAGAAAATACTGCTGGGGGTTTTTTTCCCATTTTTTCTTTCCTGTAGCTTAAAATTATTTTAAAAGTAAAAAAAAATTGGCAAAGAGAATGAGAAGAAAATCCATTCCCTAGAACTGATACGGATTCTCTTTGGCAGTAACAGCTCCTGTGATTATTTTTGTTGTTGTTTTTGCAGCTGGAACTCATGGCCAGTCTCCAATCCAGGCTGCAGGCGCTGTGGGAGGAGCAGGAGCTGGTTCTCCTGGAAGTCAGGGAATGTGCCAGGCGGGGCGAGGAGCTGGAGGTGCTGCTGCGGGAGCTGTGCAAGCCCAAGGAGTTCGAGCGCTACCTGATGTTCATCGGGGACCTGGAGAAGGTGCTGAGCCTCTTGCTCTGCTTGTCCAGCCGCCTGGCCCGCGTCCAGAACGCCCTCAGCAGGGTGGATGGCAGCACGGAGCCTGAGGAGAAGGTGAGAGACAGCAGAGCTGCTGAATTGGTTTGGTTCACTTCTCCCCAGGTGGGACTTCTTTGTGTCCCAGGATGGGCCGTGTTCCCTGCAGAGCAGAGCGGGTCCCTGGTGAGGAGCAGGGTGCAGTGCAGAGAGAGCCTGCAGCTGGGGGCAGCAGCAAAACCTTGAGAGGCTCCAAGCCAGAAGGGTGGCCTTTGGAGCCTTGGGCTGCTCCCTGGGGAGTAGCTCCAAACCTGTGCTTTTTATGGGTTTATTTCTCCACTGATAATTTCATTGAGTTAATTACTGCCTTTGAAATCATATTTCCCCAAATGGGTTTGTCCTAGCGAGCAGTAAGGTGTGGTCATAACTTGAGATAAAGCTCACTGTGGTTTAACTCAACTAGCCAGCTTTGATGGAAAATGAGGATTTGTCTCATTCACCCGGAAATAATTTCAACTCTTGCAAAGTCTCCTTTTTGCTGAAGAAGAGAAGCCAAATTTATCCCAGGAATTATGCTTCCCTGCTATGCTTATTGCTCTTAGACATGTTTTTATCAACACAATACCTGCTGTTATCTCTCTTTTGGAAATTGGAAAAGCATAGAGTAAGAATAACTGGGATTTTTTGGAGCTGTGTTGCTGCTGACCTGTATCTCTGGAGGTTCATCATAGTTCACACACAGAATAGCACTAAAAAGGTTCTCCTATGCAGTGTGACATAGAGAGCCAGGATTCACCTCTTCCAAAATGTCAGTTGTGTTAATGTGAATAATTTTAAACAGTATTGCATACTTACTTTCACTTTATGGTAGGCAGGAAGGGTGTTGTTTCTCTGGTATTACATTTAAGTTCTTCATAGGAAACACATTTAAATAATTTATTCAAATATATTAATAAAATGCCTAGTAAAGTCTTGGTTAAGTGCCAACATTTTTAACAACCATCTCCCACTGAATGCATTTGCCCTCATGTCAGCAAAAACAGCAGTCTCAATCTTTTACTCAGTTTTTAGGGTGTCAGCAGTGACCATTGCTCTGTGTTCTATTTATGGACACTGTCCTGAAACAGAACATTTTCCAGCAGTGTAATCACCATGAAAATTATTACAGCTGAATGAGAATTACTGAAGATGAAACGTACAAAAATCCTGTAGAACAAGCAAGGCCCAACTCTTTCAAAGAAGCCTTTAATGAACAGTTACTGTCTACATCACAGTTATTTTATCACACTGATGCCTTTCTGTGGTCTTAAAAACTTGAGAGCTAGACACAGTTAAGGGATAAAGGGTTTTTACCTTGGTATTTAATAAGGACCTTTATGGTGCCCCACTTTGCTAAAGTGGAATGCACTGCAATGCACACACATGATAGATGGCATATACCATTTATAGACCTCACAAATTAGCACATCTGACAAAGGTGCCCCAGTGAGAGGCTTGGAGGAATAGTGTGATCTCCACCCATCCTGAGGAATTCCCCCTGGTTGGGCTAAATCTTAGTTTCCAGGATGTGTTCTAGAGAGGACCTTGGTTTCCCAAGATAGTGTAGGGTTTTCCCACCTCCAACTGTGAGGCCTCCAGGGTGTTTGGTATCTTGGCTTAACAGAATACCAGGACTATGCTAAGTTATCAGACTTGAGGAATTACAAGTATGTATGCTAAGAGTACTGAGGATATATAGAAGATATATAAAAGGTATGCAAAAGAAAAGGCAAAAAATCATCTTGGCATAAACATGGACCTTTTAATAGAAGTCACTCTATCTTTTTAATATGATAGTGGCATTCTGGCCACATGCAACACACAAAACACAAAAATACATACCTTAAAGAGCTTCTAATTGAATTAAGATTGTTACAGGATACTTTAAAGTGACCAGAATGTTAATATTGATTTTTTTTTCGTGAGGGCAGCATAGGAGAAATGAGCCTTGATGGCATTTACTGTGTCTCTACCTTACAAGCCACAAGAATGAGTAATTCAACTGAGAAAAAACTCAGGTGGAACACAAAGCTCACAAGAGGAAGTAATTAAATTAAATTGACTGTGGCTTCCAAATGAAGAAATAGAGCCTGCCAGGAATGATGGGTTCTCACGGTGTGCTGCTTTGTTCTTTGATTCCACCAGCAATCGCTGAATGAACGGCACAAGCTCTTGTCTCGACAGCGGGAAGATGCAAAGGACCTGAAGGAGAATCTGGACAGGAGAGAGCGGGTGGTCTCTGGAATCCTTGCCAAATACCTGACAGAGCAGCAGCTCCAGGACTATCAGCACTTTGTTCAAGTCAAGACCTCCTTGCTGATTGAACAGAAGGACCTCGAAGAGCAGATTAAATTTTTTGAAGAACAATTAGAAAATCTTGAGCAAAGCATCCCCATCTAACACCCACCACCAGGCCAGACATTTTTATATGTTATATGTGATGTTTCCCTGGAAATCCAGAGGCACTCTCATCCCAGGGTTCAGTTTGGTGGATTCTTCCAATCCTGTTTGTGCCACAGCACTGACAAGGTTCAGATGCTTTGGGATGCTCCAGGCACACTCTGACAGCATCTCACAGTGTGTAGCAAACTGCCTTGTGGACATGACTGATAGGATTCATTGCTCCTATTAACTGAATGTGTATTCCCCTTCCCGTTGTCTGTCCATCTGTTTCCAGACTGACATCATCTCAATAAAAGAACCATACAAATATTTGCCTCTTGTGGGTGGGTTGAGTGTTTGAAATGAAAAATTATGTGGGTGTTCAGATTTGAATTGGTGATTGCACAAAGCCATAGAAAATGTTATGGACCATTTCAGTGAAGCTCCTGCACTCATTTCTACTGTTTATATGTGTGACACAGTAAAAATACACTGTAATGAAAGAAAATAATTACTTCCTTTCTTGGCAGTTGTCACCCATGAGTCTTTCCTGGCTCTGTGTAATCCTGGTAGGCTGTTCAGAGGAGGTCAGAAAAAGGGTGGTCTTCACTGACATCAAAGAGCCAATCAGTGATGTAGCCAGTTTAAATGAACAGTTTTGGGAATCACAAACTGTGAGCTTATTCCTGCACAGTCATTTGCAAAGTCCCTGCTGTGCTTTTGAAGAATTTATTTTTCAAGCAGCACCTTCAGGACATTGTTTTTAGGAAGTTTTCAATTGTCAGTATGCACAAAAAGCCTGAACATGGTGGGGAAAGATCTGCTGCAGACTGGGCCAGGAGGAACCACTGGAAGAGATTATTCAGTTTCAGTGAGACTTTATATAAATCCCTTGGCAAAACTCTTTTAAGCCAGTGTTTGCATTGAGTCAAACCAGTGATGTTGCTGTATTTACAATCTCACTGTGTTTTGTCTGCAAGAATTCAGTGAAAACAATATTCAGCCTAAACTACATACCTAGACTGTGAATAAGGCAGCCACCTAATTAAACTCAGGTTTCTTCCACAGCCAAAAGAGATGTTCATTGTGCCCATGATGATGGCATTTCTTTACCAGTAAATGTTTTTCTCCTGGCTACAGTAAGTATCCCCACCACTGAGAGAAGCTGTCCTGCCCCTGAGGAGTCTTCTCTGGAAGTGCATGTCACTGAGCACTTCTGGGAGCACAGTGACCAAGCTGCCAAGTGTGGTTGTCTGAATACCTGAGGGAAAATGGCCAGACACTGTAGAGCCTGTGAGTAATCTGCACAGTGGTTCTCACAAGGCCAAAAATACAGGCTTTTAATACATAAATCAGAAAGCTGCCTTTTGAAAATGGTCTTTAAAATAACAAAAGCAATGTTAATGGAGTCAGTGGAGAATTCATAAAATATAAGCAATGTTAAATGAGCTGTTTACATGATTTGAGAAGCCTGACTTGAAGGTGCACTTTATTCTTATTACTCCTAGTTGAGGGAAAAACACCTGATTGGAAATAGGTGTTTTGTAATTGAAACTAATGCTTGCTTTTAAGGGCAAAAATGGTTCTGCCCTGTTTAGCTTATCTTTTTAGGGTGTTGTGCTCTGGGGAGGGCAATTGCTACCCCTTCCAAAACTGGCACTCACACATATGCTTCAAAGAGCAATAATTTAAAATATTATTTTAAAAGAATAAATAGGCCCCTTGGTACAGTGTTAGACTGTAAATTCCAGGCAAAGTGAAAAATGGACACAGTGACAGCATCAGAACCTCTCTGCAGGCAAGCAGAGATCCCCTTTCAAAGCACCAGCAGGTCTGGATTGTCAGGTGGGTCTCAGTTTTGATACTGATCATTTGTTAAAAATTTATCAGGAGGGTAATGGTGGAAGTTGATGCTGGATCTCAGCCATGTGCAGCATTCCTGGCACACCAACATACTAAGTCATGGTAGGTGCCCCTTTCTGCTGCAGTCAGCTGTGGCCTCTGAAAGTACAGACTGAAGCCAAGAAATAGTTTAAGCACATGCTCTTGAATCCTATTGCCTTTTGCTGGAAGTTTGGTATTTAGAGCACTAGTTACATCCCCATACCAACACATGGCAGCTTTTTCCCAACTTCAGCTCATGCAGCGTAGAAGGCAAGATGGCCAGAAATGCAGAGCATCTTCATTTACAGCGCTGTGACCCCACACTGCTCCACACAGTTTTATCTGACCCTTTACCATCAGAAGACAAAATTAAGACCTGAACTCTCAATAGCAGTAACTGGAGGTCTTTGGGGGAAGCAGACCCACAGGGATTATGGAAATAAACCCCTGTGCAGTGCTTGTATATAATTACTGCTCACACCATCACTCACCAGGCTTCCATCTGTGACCTCTGCAGCAAGGGCACTGAGTCACCTCTGACCAGAGCCCTGGAAAGTCTCAGCTTCAAGAGACTTCTGCGCCTTGGCAACGCCCCGTGCCGGGAGACTTCTTATGTAAACGAAGTCAGGTTGTGTGAGTGGGGGAAATGCAAGGAATGAAGAAGTTCCCTGGTACCTGACCCTCCAGGAGAGCAGGCAGGAAATCCCCGCCACCGCCCAGCCTCGGGATCCTCCTCCTGCTGCCGCCTGCCAGCCTGATCCTTTCCAGGTAACGCACAATGTGAGCCCAGCTCCATGGAGAAGTGTAATCGGAGCGCTGCGGGGAGCTGTCTCCATGAATTAATGACAGCTGAGCCAGGAGAACAGCGGGGCTGAGGGGAAGGAAGAGGTGGAAGGGGCAATTGCAGGCGCCCGGCTCTCCCCGTGGTGTGCCGGCGGTGGGAGGCTGGTGGGATTCCAGGAACCATCTCTGCATCTCGCCTGGCCACCCACACGCAGGTGGCGTGGGGGGAGACTGCAGTAGCTCCTTAGGGGCCGGATTTTGGGCTAAAGCTGGCCGGTGTTGGCCGGGGCAGAGCCCTGGTGCCGGGGCGGGAGGTGTCGGGGACAGCAGCGCGTCCTGCCCGGCTGACAGCACGACTGGGAGATGTCAGACACAGCCGCTCGTCTAGAACCGCGTCTGACATCCACCGCAACGTGTGGGAGTCGCTGCTGGACCGGGAGCTGCTGTTTCAGCCTTTTGGGCCCTAAATGGAAGGATTTTCATTATTTTGTTTGAAACCCCAGCCTCATTTTCTTCACTGGGGCATTATGCTGGGGGACTTTTGCATGTGGAACTAATTAAGGAACAGAGAGCTGCAGGAGTTAATGCAAATGTACTCTGCAAAAAGATCTATTTCGTGCTTGTGAGAGCTGTATTTAATAAGTAGAAGGATGTTCTCTCTGCTTTGAGAATTCATGGCAACCATTTGAATAAATTTTTTAAAATAAACTCAGAGCAGCATTGCAAAACTAATGTTCTGTGCCTGGAGGGAGCCCACATAGATATTAAGGAATAATCAGCCTGTAGGAATCATGCAACCTCTGGGGTTCACAAAAGGCTCTCAAGAAGCAGCACTTGAATTTCACTGCTAAATGAAGAGAGGCATTAAAGGTTATCAGAGACTCTAAAATACCACATGAGCCTTGAAGCTGAGTCATCTCATAGATAAACCACAGAGAGACAATATGGGCTGCACTGATAGTCTTGATTTAGAGAATAAGAGACATTTCTAAAAATGTGAAAAAAGACCCAGAGATCTTTCCAATGGGTTCAGCCCATGGTGGGGGAGTAAGAACATCCCAAACTAGCTCAAAAGGGAACCACTTGTGAAACAATCTTTCCAGAGACCCCTGCCCTGTGACAGCTCCTGATGGCATGGCTGGTGCCTGCAGCAGCCCTTTCTGGGTCTCAGCTGCTCCCTGCTGAGCACAGGGTCAGTGTCACCCGATGTCACAGCGGCTGCTTGGAGAGGTCTGGTCTGGAGCTGACCCCAGCCTGGACTGGTAGCTCTTTGTTGCAAAGGGAAAACTACCATGGGAGAGTGGTGGATGAAAATACAACACAAAAATCATGGTGAGAAAGCCTGTCTGTCTCTACCACTGCAGTTTGTTATTGTGACCGTACTGGTGAATCATTTTCGTGTGACCATCTGCCTCATGCAGGAGCCTGTGGGTGAGGACACCAGGGAAGGCCTGGCACCCCAATACCTCCCATCAAGGCCTTGTGTGTTTGGGTATCAGGTTCTATTCAGTGGAAATGAACGTTACTTGGTTTGTGTCAGCTGTGACTCCACGGTGCTTGCTGTGCTTCTCAGCTGGAGTCTCTTCTTGTCTGGAGGGTCTCAAGGGATGGGGATGGATGATTTTCCTCTTGGGAAATGGTGGTTTGGGTTTGGCTAAGGACTCATGCTTCCAGGTGAACAAAAGTAATGCCCTACCTGGGACAAACATCGCGCAGAAGTTCTACCAGGAAAGGGAAAGCTGAACACTGCCCACATCTCTATTTTCTCTTCACAGAAAGGGAAGATGTACTAAAGCTGTGCTAATATTAACAGTATGGATCTATTTTGCATGGTTCCAGGTAACACAGAGAGTATATAGGGTCAATGTGCTTAATGATTTTTTTTGTCTTCTAAATTGCTGAAATAAACCTTGAAACTGGAATAGAAATATTCTTCATAAGGATGCAGGGTTTTTGATCTGTGCTGTCCTGCTCTGCCCCTGCTCTCCCCCTCCAGCAAACAAACACCACACTGTTTGTGCTCATGCTACATGCTGGCCAAGTCCCTGTTAACAGCCTCTTAATTTGGGGAGTCCCACAATAGTACAAACAACTGGAAAGGGCAAAAACTGCCATGCTGCTATTTTATTCAGATTAATATGCAAATCAGGAGACAAGTACATCCAAGGAATGTAGGTCATGGTGGAAACATGAAGAGAGGGAGCAAGAGATGAGCAATGGGCAATCAGGGGACTGTCTAGAAATGCTTCCTCTACCTCCAGGTGGCTGCAGCTCCCACTGGTCTTTTGGAGTTACTGTGACTCTTCCACTGGACCGTGGGTTTGTGATGAAGCTGAAAGCTCATTACGACTCCTCTGCAGTGCAGGAATGGGGTTTCCTGGTTTTCATAGTCCATGTTTCCATGCAGCACTCACAAGAGAATGGAGACAGCCAAAAATCTCTGTGAGCCTGACCACAAGCACACTGCCTCACACTGCTCAAACAGCCACATCCGGGAGGACAAAGTCTGTCCCTTTGTGCAGAATTGTGGTTTAGGGTTTGTTTGCAGAGCTCTTCAGAGCAGGTTTTTGAGCTGATACTCCTCCGAACAAAATGTGCTAAGGAACAGACAAACCAAGTTATCCTTAGCAGGCAGACTGAGCCAGGGTCAGGCAAACAGTAGCTTTCCTGATCCCTAGCGCTGCTGAACTAAAATCAGAGCTAGTTTTCATTTGTGTAGGCGCTCCACAGAATGCGCATTCACAGGGTGGGGGAATGACACTGCTCATGCTGCCTACAGGCCTAAAAACATTATCTGATTTCAATTTGCATTTCAGTACTGACTGTGTGCTTTAAAGAAGTGACCAAGGTGATTATCTACATTTTATAGCAGGAAAACTGAGACCTGCTGAGAGGGCAGGCTGATAACCAAGGCAAAATACCACCAAGCTGCTGAGTCCTGCCCCTGTGCCTGATCTGTGCTTCCATCTCCAGCCTTCCCCACCACTAAGCCCTCTCCTGGAGGCAGGAGCAGAGCCGGGGGGGCCTCAGGTTTTTTGGTTTTTACCTTTCCTGCTCTTAGCTTTGATGGTGCCTTGGGCAGCTCCCAGCTCTGGACTGGGCCAGGGATTCAAAGGCTGAGTGCTCAGCCCCTGCCCCAGGCCAGCGGGCTGAGGGAACCCAGTCCTCCTCTCAGCTGTTCCTGTGAAAACATCCTGGCTGAACTTCACAGCTGTCGTTCATTCAGGTGAAAATCCTACTGCCTTCAGCCAGATTTGGGCTTGAAAATGAGAATTATGGAGAATCAGCCAAGCTGAGGCATTCATAAAACAGCCCTGCTTTAGCCTTTTGCAGGAAAACACTCTCATGATCACTCATCACCCTACAGTGTCCCTTCCCACAGTTTAAAGGGTGACAAACACAGCCAGGCTGAAGGACTGGTTGTACTTCAAGCCAAAGGCACTAATACACCTGTGAGATGACAGCAGTGTGTTCTCAATACCTCTCAGCACTCGTCTGCACCTGACGTTGTACTGCACTTCGTGTGCTGATCCCAGCCTCCCCAAATACCATCTTTTCCTTCATCAGCTCAACGAGGAGGAGGAAGGAGCTGAGTCACTGCACAAACTTGCTGGCAGAGCCTGGCCCGGCCTGCCCCACCCACAGCACCTGGCCTTGTGAGCACCTCTGTGAGCCTCCTGCCAGGCCCGCAGCACTCCCTGGGGAATGCTGAAAGAGGTCCCTTGCTGATGGCCATTTTCTATCACACCAGCTCATCGCTTCCATGCCTCTGAGGAAGGAGTAATGCAGAATTTTCTTGGTGATATGTGTTGCAATGAAGTCTTATCTCAACCATGATTTCTTTGACGAAACAAAGAGAAGCAATGAAACCTTCTCCCTACTTTCCCGGGGTGAAATCACAATCATGCTCTCCAGATTAGTCAGGTGGGGTTTTTAAACACAAAACACTCCATCCTTGAACCCTGCCTCTGGCTCACGCAGGCTTGACTCTGAAGGAGCACTAAAGTTAGCAATGTTGTCTGAACAGGTATCAAGCCTATACTCATTATTATTGAACAAACTTCTCAATAAGGCCAAGGCAAACTGGAGTGTTTGCAATACCCACAGAAACAGGACGCCTTCACCAGGCAGTGGCAGTGCCTCACAGGGAACATGAATGTGCAGACACACTTCTGTGGTTTCAGGGGAGAAAAAAAAAGTTCTATGTCTGTACACTTGGAAAGACTTTAGAACAGAGCCCTGTTTTTCCCAGAACTCTGCAAGCTGGCAGAGTGCAGCACAAATCACAGCTTCAAAGGACCACGCTGGTCAATGGTGACACCAACAGCTAGAGAGCAAATTGGATTTTATTTTTTTTAAATCCTACTCCAGATATAGAAGTCATGAGGTGCTTGATCATTAACCTCTGCTTAACAACTTAATTAGTTCAATCCAGAAGCAGACCAGTGCAGAATAATGCAGTCTCTTCCTAGAACAGGTGCATCAGAGCTGGCTGCGACCTCTGATCACATTCCCAACAAATGTCACCGACTCCAGGAACTTCAGGGAGAGTGTTCTGAGGTAAAGAGGGCAGTGCCTCCATCTTCAGTCCTACAGCATTCCTTGTGAGTGTTTAGGACAAGCCAATTAGAACCAATTACAAGCACTAGGTTTAATGCAAGGCAGAAAAAAACAAAACATTCCTGAAGTCACTGACCTGGAAGGAAAACAAACTGCAAAGCATGCAAACTAGTGTTTCAATGCAGAAACCCAAACAGAGCCAGTGCAGCACTGCTCTCACCTTCAGCACCTCTCAATGGTACAGCTTTCTATCACAGTTTTAGAGAAAACGTGCTGGTGTAGCAGACTTGCTCCAGAAGTCAGACAGATTCTGTTCACAGCTCTGCTTCTTTGCATTAACTTTAACCAAGCAGTAATTAAAATAATAATAATCTTACTGCAAACCTAACATGCAGTTAGCATGCTTTTTGAGCTATGTGTAGTTCTATATATAGAACAATTATGTTTATCATTTAAAAGAAGAAGAGTTCGTTTTAGGTCAATGATTCAGGCTGTTGATATAAACACTGCTTCAAGAGGTCATGCAGAGGTTCTATCATGAAACACCTAACATTACATAAAGCCCCATGTCTATAAATATTTATTGTAAATAGGTCAAAATGGGCCAAGTTTTAAACAAAAATAATCAGACATACAAGCCTAACTTTGTTTCCAGTTGGCTACTCAGAAACTCTGAGAGATCCAATTCCCAGCTTTTCAGTTCAATTTCTCACTATCAATAAGGTTCTTTATTCAGCTTAACTTGATTGAACAACAGTGAAGTTTAAATGTTCACAGTATCATCAAGACATGTGGTAAGCACCACCTGGTCAAAAAGTATTTCAGGAAGAGAGAAAATCTTAAACCACTAGCCAAGCTTTCAAACTGAGGTAGACAAGTCATGGTGACGTGAGTGCTGAAGGTCAGGGTCTATCTTTTAAGTAATTTATCTAATAAAATGCATCAGGCAACAATCAAGATTGTTATGTTAGTATTTCTGATGTGAAATACTGAGTGAGAAGCTCTCAAAGTGAGAAACTTTGTTTTTAAAAAGTATACAATTTTTGTAAATAGAAATATCCTTCTTTCACTACCAAAATAATCAGAAACATCATAGAAAACTATGCATCTTTCCTCTGATAACTTAATCCTGTTAGATAACAAGCCTTGTTAAAGTAGCCAGCTACCAGCTTGCTGTTCACAGTGTAAAATATGCAATCCTTCATCTTGCTTCTGCCCTCCAGCTGAAGAACACAGATCAACAAGGCTGTACCTCAGGCATTTTTACCTGTCCACACACACATAAGGTGTTTTAGTTTTTCAACCATTAAGTATAAAGTCTGTGGTCTCCACCAACAGGTCAGCACGATGGTACACACAGCATGGACAGCTCTTCCTGGCAGCTCCCCTTCCACGGGCACCTGGGGCTGGGTTCCACGCTGTGGGCTCTGCATGTAGACCCTACCACTGATTCAGTTAAAAATCCAGAAAGACAAGGAGAGAAAAAATCCAAACTGCTGCTGCAAGAGAAAGCTGAGACAGCAGCCGTGCTATTAAACCATGTTGATCACAGCAAGGCAGAGGCTAGTGGCCAAAGAACAGCTCAGAAACGGGTCTGCGTTTCACGACAACCTCTTCCTCCTCCTCCGCTACCTCAGAGAGTGAGGAATATGAAGGGAAGCCCCCTCTGATCTTTGGCTTCCTCCTCGGGCCCGTGGTGGCAGTCAGAAGCTTGTTTAAAGTTGAGGGCTTCCTTAAACCTTTGGTGAGATCATAGAAAGCCATGTCATCGGATATGACTCCCAGGAAAGTGCTCGTGGAGCTCAAGATTGAAGCCGCAAGCTTTGTAGACTTCTTGATGGGCACGGAGTGTTCCATGTTTTGGGAAAGGCTGGGGTCCCCCAGCAAACGCCTAATTGTAAGGGACGTCCCTTCCTTTAAGTACTGGTGCGGCTTCTTCCCACTGTAGTCCCTCAGGTCAATCTTGGCATGGTAGCTGTAGACGAGCATGGTGATGATCTTCTCCTGGCCGTGGATAGCAGCCAGGTGCAGCGCCGTGTAGCCACCATGCGACCTGGCGTCCACATTGACCCGGGACCCGCCCTTCTCGGCCGCTCGGATGATGTTGGTCACCATGTCGCAGTTGCCGCTCTTGGCGGCCCAGTGCAGGGCGGTGAAGCCGGAGATGAAGTCCCTGCGAGCCGCCAGGCTGGCGTCGCCCAGCAGCAGCCCGTGGAGCTGCTGTGTCCACTGCCCGTCGGCCGCCAGCAGCAGCCACTGGTGCTCCGCATGCTCCAGGGGCACCACCGTCTCCTCGCTGGCCCGGTGGTTCTTGGGCCCCCTCCGCAGCCCGGGCGAGCGGGACCCGGCCTCCTCGTCCAGCGGCGGGGGGGACAGCGGGCTGGGCTGCTCGGTTGGCCCCGGGGCGGCGGGGGTGGGCACGCAGCGCACGGGCAGCATCCCCCGGGCAGGGGCACGCCGCCGCCGCCGCCCTGGAACAGGCCCCGCAGCTCGGCCACGGCCCGCGGCCCCGGCGGCTCCTCGGGGGGCGTCCCGGCGGGGTCCGCGTCGGGGACGGGAACGGGGTCGGGGACGGGAACGGGGTCGGGGACGGGAACCGGGACAGGGGCGCCGGCATCGCCCCCCGCCGGCGGGGCAGCGCGGAGCTGCCGCTTCAGCACCACGAACTTGACGCCGTCGATCTCCTTCACCGTGGCCACGGCGTTCACCGCCGCCTTGAACCGCTCCCGCCGCGCCGCCCGCCCCTCCGCCTCCCCGGCCCCGGCCCCGGCGGCCTCCAGCAGCGGCCGGAAGGCGCTCACCAGCTCGGTGTTGCGCACCCGCCCGCCGCGCTCCCTCAGGAAGCCCATCACTGCCTCCGCGCTGATGTCGAGCTCCGCCATCCCGCCGCCACAGGTGGTGGTGGCGGAGCCGCCGCCGCGCCCGCCGCCTCCGCGCGTTGGGATGCCGGGAGCCCGCGGGGCGGCGGCACCGCGCGGGGGACGGGCACAGAGCCGGCACCGACCCCAGCCCGAGAGGGTGCGGGCACGGGGATACCGGAGACTCCTCGGGCAGGACCGAACGCTTCATCCATTTGCTCGTCTTCCAGCTTCCTAAAATGATTTTATTTTAATTTTAGGGTTTTTTTCTTTATTTGGTTTGGGTTTTGGGTTTTTTTCAGTAGCAAAAAAGTGGAGCAGCATTGGGCAGAAATCACTCTGCAGAGTTTGGTCTCCATTCCTAGAAAAGCCTCAGGTGTTCTGTGGGACCTGTGGTCCTGCTGAGCAAGAGGCTGATGCCTCAAAATTAGCCAGAAGATGGGTGGATGTGTCAGTCTTTTGAAATATATTCACCTCTATGTGATACTATATATTATCATATTTATACACATAATCATATATTATTATGTGTGTCTTTTACCTATATTGCATCTACAATGTGGATGTATGTGTCCATTTAAACAATGAAATATTTACAGCATGGCTGCATCTGTTCATGTCCACCAGGAGAAGAGAGAGCTTCTTTTTTTATGGAGAAGCTGCCTCTGGTGTCTTGTCAATTACTTGTGCCTAAGCGTTTAACATTACTGTTCTCTGCTCTACAGGAGAAAATAAATCCCAGAAAAATGCTTTTCTCCAGGCAAAGTAGGAGGACTGAGGACCTCTCGGAGGGATGTTCAGCCTGCAAACTTGTTTTCTCCACTGAATGCTGCAGTTAAGATCACTAGATCAAGTGATCTAGTTAAGATCACTGGCCTGAACAGTTTGTCTAGGAGAAAAGCAGGAGAAACTGAGAACAGAATGAACAGTCAGTGTGGTTTGAAGACCAATAAAAGTAACTGTATGAGGATGGGTAAGAAAATGCAAATAGATCTGGAGTTGGTTTTAGTCTGAGAACTTAATAAAATGGAACATACTTTTATGACCAAGTGACCTGCCTGTCTCCCACACAATCCTTGCTGGGATTTTTCCTCTCCTGAGAAGCTGGGGAGCCTCGGGAGAGAAATGTAAACAATTACTATCTGCTGCTGTGGAATGCAACAGGTGCATCCATGATTGGTCCATGTGGATTGTTTTCCATTGATGACCAATCACAGCCACCTGTGCCAAGGCTGTGAGCAGTCACAGGATTTTTGTTATTCTGTTCTGTTCTTGTTGTAGCCTTCTGATCTCTCTGTTCTTTAGTATAGTCTCAATGTAGTATTTTAATATAATATTTAACATAATAAATCAGCCTTCTGAAATGGAGTCAAGCCTCGTGTCTCAACACGCGGAGAGTCCTCAACAGCCCACATGGAGCATCACCACTCCTACAAAATAAGGCAGTTTTTACCTGACTATCAAGCAACATTAAACTTCTCTGGGAAGCACTGGGTGCAGGATAATCAGGAACAGAAGAGGAATGTGTCTGTGGAGCAGAGGGCTGGTTAAAATTCTCATTAGGCTGTTAACAGCTGCTTTCATTACACGGAGAGGAATCATCAACAACCAAGTGACCTGCCTGTCTCCCACAGCATTCTCCTGGAGATGCTGGCAGCCTATGGCTTGGAGCCCTCTCTTCTCTAGAGGGTTAAAAACTGCCAGGATGGCTGAGCACAGAGAGTGGTGGTGAATGGTGCCACATTCCGTTGGTCACTGGTCACTAGTGGGGCTCCCAGGGCTCAGTATTGGGCCCCGTCCTGTTTAATATCTTTACTAGGCTGGAGAGCACCTCAGTAGGTTCACAGATGACGCCAAGCTGGGTGGCTGTTGATGTGCTGGAGGGTAAGAAGGCTCTGCAGAGGGCTCTGGACAGGCTGGATCAATGGGCTGAGGCAGATGGTGTGAGGGTCAACAAGGTGAAAGGACAGGTCCTGCCCTGCAGCCACAGCAACCCCCTGCAGACAGGCTGGGGCAGAGCGGCTGGTTCTTCTCCTCCCAGTGGAAAAGAGCCTGGAGGTGCTGCTTGGCAGTGGCTGAGCATGAGCCCAGGTGGGCAAGGTCTCCTGGTCTGTATCAGCAGTAGTGTGGCCAGCAGGACCAGGGCAGGTCTGGTACTCTGGCACCAGGGCAGGTGCCCAGCCACACCTCGAGTGCTGTGTCCAGTTCTGGGCCCCTCAGTTCAGGAAGGACATTGAGCTGCTGAAGGTTTTAGCCTGGGGAGACCTTATCACTCTACAAGTACCTGAAAGGAGGCTGTACAAAGGTGAAGTTTGGCGTTTCCTCCCAGGTAACCAGTCACAGGACAAGAGCAAATGGCCTTGAGCTGCACCAGGGGAGGTTCAGGTTGGGCATCAGAAGGAATTGCTTTACAGTAAAGATTTCAAACTCTGGAATGGTCTGCCCTGGGAGGTGGTGGAGTGTCCATCCCTGAAGTGTTCAAGGAATGACTGGACATCGCACTTAGTGCTATGGTTTAGTAGACAAGGTGGTGTTTAGTCAAAGGCTGGACTTGATGATCTTGGAGGTCTTCTCCACCTTTAATGATTCTCTGCTCAGTCTGTGTCAAAGTTTCCATTTTGAAGGCAATGTGAAGTGTGTCCTCCTTGCTGATGCTGACTTCCCTTCTGCCTCTTCTTACCTTTACTGAGGGTAGAAGAGCCTTTTCCCACAGATTGCATTTGGTATTCTTTCCCCTTCTCTCTCCTTCTTTGTGCAAATGTCTGTAAAACTATTTCATGTTTTGCTAACAAGCTGGCACTGAACCAGTCCCTCAAAATTTTGCTGCTCTAATTCTCTTTCACATTATAATAGTGTTTAATCTTGTATTAGTTGTGTTTTCTTTGTGTATTGCACACCTCCTATTACTGCCTTTTCACATGGCCTGAACAGCAGCCTTGCCCTTGCTGAGGCAGCCACTTGAGCAGAGCTCTGCAATGCTCTATAGCTCATGGCATTGCCTGCCCTATGTAGAGAGCTAAAAATGATCCTGCATCCAAATACTAATTTTTGGTCCTTGTTTTCACTGTTTAGATCCTTACTGAACCCCTTGCAGCATAAGAAAATCTCAGCAGTCTGTGATTTTTGCCTTGCAAACTTTCAGCTGTACCCTAGGATTATAGTTCATTTCTGCAAATGAGAGAGAGGAGGAGGGAAAATGATTCAGAAGAACAGGCTCTTACAAAAAACATTTTATGTTACAAATGTTAAAGGGAGAAGTTGCTCCAGTTGCTTGAATTGGTTCAAGTACAGGGCAGGGGAGAGAGGAGACTCAAGCTCACTGCACTCTGTCCCTGTGTGCACAGCAGCACACCCCTGCACCCCTGTGTCCTTTGAGACCCACGAGGCTGCTGTCTGATCCCACCTGTGTTATCCCCAGCCCAGCACCATTCCTGCAGAGGGATCTCCCTGCACCAGGCTCCCAGGACACCTCACTGCTCCACACCCACACAGCCAAGCCTCTCTGAGCACTTGCAATGGATCAAGGTCCAAAAATAGGGGAGTTACTGAGCCTGTTCCCCTCTGCAGATCCTGTTCCACTGCTGCAGCGCAGAAGGACACATAGCCAGGAGGTGACAGGAGACAGGATGTTTACCTATGCACCTCGTGCCGAGCAAGTCTGAACTGGTTGCTCTGGTTTAACACAATGACCTCTTTGCCCAGGTAATGCCTCCAGCCACCTGTTCCACACACGCTCTCTTCATGGGCAACCCATGGAATGTGGCTGTGCTCCTTTTCACAGTCTGTCAGTGGGTTTTAGTAACCTAACACATTAACCTCCTATATTATTTGTGATAAAGAAGAAAACAATGCTTCTGGCTGATCACCTGTACCAGTTCAGACCACACACATCCTGTCTGCCAGCCTTTCCCTTTAGCTGTTGATGCTTTTTTGTTGCCCACCATTCAGGATGAGTGCCAAGTTCCAGAGGACCAGCTCCCAATAAACTCCTCTCAGTCTGCTGAGTGCTGGTCACACTGATCTGATTGTGGAGCAGAAATTAAACCCTTTGAATGAATTTTATTAATATAGATAATAAAATCCTGGAGCATTATGGGTGTTATATTCATCAGTCATCCAGAATTTCCAGCTTCTAAAAAGCATGAGAAGTTTTGCCTCTTTCTGTGTCACCAAAAACCTACAAAGCAAGTATTTCTTGTTGGGCTATTTACAGAATACTGTGGGCTGCTTCGTAGGAGATCTCAAGCCAACTGTCTTGATATTTTTCATTTATTGGCTGAGACAAAAACAATATACATAAGCCCATGATTAGATTAATTTACTACTACTTTTTTAAACACAAATATTGCAGTTTGTTATTCCTGCATCATAGGCTCTAGAGCTGGCCTCTATTTATAGCCATATGACTGATGACAGTTAGTTACCTTTCCTGTGAAGAAGTCTCCCAAACTCAACTTATTATTATTATTATTATTATTATTATTATTATTACAGTGAAATAAACTGCATAGTGAACCTGGGAGCTTTTCCCACCCCCTCAGAGGAGGAAGGTGAAGGTTTTATGACTGCAATTATCCACACCACACAAAACCAGGAAATAAAGTGGGAGATCAAGCACAGTATCTAGTCAAAGCAAAGTAGTTTCTACTACCCAAAACTGAAGGAAATGGTACCCTAGGTCTCGCTCTTTCCCACATGATATTCTCAGAGCCACAAGGAAAATGAGATGCCAGGCTGGAAGCAAAAGAGGAAGGAAAGGGAATGTGAAGGATAGTCCCAGTCAGACAGGATGCTGCTGCTTTGCAGAAAGGCAAAGCTTAGCTGCTCATGACTACAGATGGGACTTCTACCTCAAGGAAAACTCATTTTCCTCCAAAATTAAATCAGGGTTCCCAGAATAAAAAGGATGACAAAGCCCATGATTTCCTACTTTTCTTGTTAATATATTCATGTGAAACAAAGACAGCACATTGTGAGGGAAAATAGCTCTTTCTTTGTTCCATGGAGAAATGCAGTAACCTTCCACAGATAAACAATTGAGCAAAAGTCTGTGAAGGGGGGGGGGGGGGGGGGGGGAATGGAAGGGGAGGAAGGGGAGTGGAGATTATTTACAGATAAAAGGCATTTTCCCATAAACAAGAAGGATTCAGCCCTAACTCAAGGACCTCAGTAACTAGTTCAGAAGAC